TATTCACTGATTTATAACGTTATGTATTCACTGATTTATAATGTTATGTATTCACTGATTTATAACGTTATGTATTCACTGATTTATAACGTTATGTATTCACTGATTTATAACGTTATGTATTCACTGATTTATAACGTTATGTATTCACTGATTTATAACGTTATGTATTCACTGATTTATAATGTTATGTATTCACTGATTTATAATGTTATGTATTCACTGATTTATAATGTTATGTATTCACTGATTTATAACGTTATGTATTCACTGATTTATAACGTTATGTATTCACTGATTTATAACGTTATGTATTCACTGATTTATAACGTTATGTATTTACTGATTTATAACGTTATGTATTCACTGATTTATAACGTTATGTATTCACTGATTTATAACGTTATGTATTCACTGATTTATAACGTTATGTATTCACTGATTTATAACGTTATGTATTCACTGATTTATAACGTTATGTATTCACTGATTTATAACGTTATGTATTCACTGATTTATAATGTTATGTATTCACTGATTTATAACGTTATGTATTCACTGATTTATAATGTTATGTATTCACTGATTTATAACGTTATGTATTTACTGATTTATAACGTTATGTATTTACTGATTTATAACGTTATGTATTTACTGTTTTATAGTGTTATGTATTTACTGATTTATAGTTTTATGTATTTACTGATTTAAAATGTTATGTATTTACTGATTTAAAGTGCTATGTATTTACTGATTTATAGTGTTATGTATTTACTGATTAAATAGTATTATGTATTTACTGATTAAATAGTATTATGTATTTACTGATTTATAGTGTTATGTATTTACTGTTTTATAGTGTTATGTATTTACTGATTTATAGTTTTATGTATTTACTGATTTAAAATGTTATGTATTTACTGATTTAAAGTGCTATGTATTTACTGATTTATAATGTTATGTATTCACTGATTTATAACGTTATGTATTTACTGATTTATAACGTTATGTATTTACTGATTTATAACGTTATGTATTCACTGATTTATAATGTTATGTATTCACTGATTTATAATGTTATGTATTCACTGATTTATAATGTTATGTATTCACTGATTTATAATGTTATGTATTCACTGATTTATAATGTTATGTATTCACTGATTTATAACGTTATGTATTCACTGATTTATAATGTTATGTATTCACTGATTTATAACGTTATGTATTTACTGATTTATAACGTTATGTATTTACTGATTTATAACGTTATGTATTCACTGATTTATAACGTTATGTATTCACTGATTTATAACGTTATGTATTCACTGATTTATAACGTTATGTATTCACTGATTTATAACGTTATGTATTCACTGATTTATAACGTTATGTATTCACTGATTTATAACGTTATGTATTCACTGATTTATAACGTTATGTATTCACTGATTTATAACGTTATGTATTCACTGATTTATAACGTTATGTATTCACTGATTTATAACGTTATGTATTCACTGATTTATAACGTTATGTATTCACTGATTTATAACGTTATGTATTCACTGATTTATAACGTTATGTATTCACTGATTTATAACGTTATGTATTCACTGATTTATAACGTTATGTATTCACTGATTTATAACGTTATGTATTCACTGATTTATAACGTTATGTATTCACTGATTTATAACGTTATGTATTCACTGATTTATAACGTTATGTATTCACTGATTTATAACGTTATGTATTCACTGATTTATAACGTTATGTATTCACTGATTTATAACGTTATGTATTCACTGATTTATAACGTTATGTATTCACTGATTTATAACGTTATGTATTCACTGATTTATAACGTTATGTATTCACTGATTTATAACGTTATGTATTCACTGATTTATAATGTTATGTATTCACTGATTTATAATGTTATGTATTCACTGATTTATAACGTTATGTATTCACTGATTTATAACGTTATGTATTCACTGATTTATAACGTTATGTATTCACTGATTTATAACGTTATGTATTCACTGATTTATAACGTTATGTATTCACTGATTTATAACGTTATGTATTCACTGATTTATAACGTTATGTATTCACTGATTTATAACGTTATGTATTCACTGATTTATAACGTTATGTATTCACTGATTTATAACGTTATGTATTCACTGATTTATAACGTTATGTATTCACTGATTTATAATGTTATGTATTCACTGATTTATAACGTTATGTATTCACTGATTTATAACGTTATGTATTCACTGATTTATAACGTTATGTATTCACTGATTTATAACGTTATGTATTCACTGATTTATAACGTTATGTATTCACTGATTTATAACGTTATGTATTCACTGATTTATAACGTTATGTATTCACTGATTTATAACGTTATGTATTCACTGATTTATAACGTTATGTATTCACTGATTTATAACGTTATGTATTCACTGATTTATAATGTTATGTATTCACTGATTTATAACGTTATGTATTCACTGATTTATAACGTTATGTATTCACTGATTTATAACGTTATGTATTCACTAATTTATAACGTTATGTATTCACTGATTTATAACGTTATGTATTTACTAATTTATAATGTTATGTATTCACTGATTTATAACGTTATGTATTCACTGATTTATAACGTTATGTATTCACTGATTTATAACGTTATCTGATTCTATCTAATTATAACGTTATGTATTCACTGATTTATAACGTTATGTATTCACTGATTTATAATGTTATGTATTCACTGATTTGTAACGTTATGTATTTACTGATTTATAACGTTATGTATTCACTGATTTATAACGTTATGTATTCACTGATTTATAATGTTATGTATTCACTGATTTATAACGTTATGTATTCACTGATTTATAACGTTATGTATTCACTGATTTATAATGTTATGTATTCACTGATTTATAATGTTATGTATTCACTTATTTATAACGTTACGTATTCACTGATTTATAACGTTATGTATTCACTGATTTATAACGTTATGTATTCACTGATTTATAACGTTATGTATTCACTGATTTATAACGTTATGTATTCACTGATTTATAACGTTATGTATTTACTGATTTATAACGTTATGTATTCACTGATTTATAACGTTATGTATTCACTGATTTATAATGTTATGTATTCACTGATTTGTAACGTTATGTATTTACTGATTTATAACGTTATGTATTCACTGATTTATAACGTTATGTATTCACTGATTTATAATGTTATGTATTCACTTATTTATAACGTTACGTATTCACTGATTTATAACGTTATGTATTCACTGATTTATAATGTTATGTATTCACTGATTTATAATGTTATGTATTCACTTATTTATAACGTTACGTATTCACTGATTTATAACGTTATGTATTCACTGATTTATAATGTTATGTATTCACTGATTTATAATGTTATGTATTCACTGATTTATAACGTTACGTATTCACTGATTTATAACGTTATGTATTCACTGATTTATAATGTTATGTATTCACTGATTTATAATGTTATGTATTCACTGATTTATAACGTTACGTATTCACTGATTTATAACGTTATGTATTCACTGATTTATAACGTTATGTATTCACTGATTTATAATGTTATGTATTCACTTATTTATAACGTTACGTATTCACTGATTTATAACGTTATGTATTCACTGATTTATAATGTTATGTATTCACTGATTTATAATGTTATGTATTCACTTATTTATAACGTTACGTATTCACTGATTTATAACGTTATGTATTCACTGATTTATAACGTTATGTATTCACTGATTTATAATGTTATGTATTCACTGATTTGTAACGTTATGTATTTACTGATTTATAACCTTATGTATTCACTGATTTATAACGTTATGTATTCACTGATTTATAATGTTATGTATTCACTTATTTATAACGTTACGTATTCACTGATTTATAACGTTATGTATTCACTGATTTATAATGTTATGTATTCACTGATTTATAATGTTATGTATTCACTTATTTATAACGTTACGTATTCACTGATTTATAACGTTATGTATTCACTGATTTATAATGTTATGTATTCACTGATTTATAATGTTATGTATTCACTTATTTATAACGTTACGTATTCACTGATTTATAACGTTATGTATTCACTGATTTATAATGTTATGTATTCACTGATTTATAATGTTATGTATTCACTTATTTATAACGTTACGTATTCACTGATTTATAACGTTATGTATTCACTGATTTATAACGTTATGTATTCACTGATTTATAATGTTATGTATTCACTTATTTATAACGTTACGTATTCACTGATTTATAACGTTATGTATTCACTGATTTATAATGTTATGTATTCACTGATTTATAATGTTATGTATTCACTTATTTATAACGTTACGTATTCACTGATTTATAACGTTATGTATTCACTGATTTATAACGTTATGTATTCACTGATTTGTATCACACATTTACCTAAACTCCCGCTTGATAGCCTTATAAAAACACCTCTGACGAAACCTTACAAAGTAGGCTTGTTAATTTTGTATCATTGCCGTATGTATAATACAACAATGTTGTGTATTATCAAACGTCCGCAACTTTTTGTATGTAATCATCACGTCATCCTGGGGTAATATTACGCTGTTAACGCGCAAAGTTGGACCCTTATTTTTGGTAGTCCGTTACACTTGAGCACGGTCTAGCCTGGTCAATTATTTGCTGATTTGCTGGAATTTTTTAAACTTGTAGCTGCATTTAATAAAAATTCCGTGGTTGTTCAAAACTAAACACGTTTTAAAAAAACGTATAAAGTTCTTGTTTTAAGTTTGAATAAGTGCTCTTTTGAATATTTCATACAAAACGTGTCAAAGAACGGTGAATTAACTAGAAAAATACGTTTTAAAAACTGGATCACATGTAATTAGGCAGGATTACCACCTAATATAATGAGTACTGCACCTACAGTACACCCTACAGCGGAATTGCCGCAGAATGATATGTGAGTACTTGTAATCATCCGCCCAGTTTTAAAAACAATTACAAATATTTTTAAGTTTAAGGTTTCTAATTTCTAAAACCGTCTGACAATACAAAAGTATGATTTTATTGTATGTGATTCAGGGTTTAGATCTACATGATTTACCGGACCTTTACCGATAGTTGAAATTCGACATCTATCATCATTCATCATCTAGCGTGAGATGTCGCCTGATGATGATAGATGACGCTATAGATGACGCTGGTTAGCGCTAATTAGCAACAATGCCGCCAATTGCATGGCATAGGTAAAGCCAAAGGTCAGATCTACCTAATGATTGTGGCAGTTTACTTGGTACAAGCTTTCGTTCAGTTATTGACAGAGGCGTGTAATTTTCCATCATTTTAATTAGTCGTCGTTTAACTAGAGAATCAATAAAACTGCAGCAGCTGTAAATTGCATAATTATCATTCGAGCGTCCTGATAAAGAAAACGCAAACGTACGCGTAATTATCAACCTGTACACGTGGACCATGCAGCCTTAAACTCAAAGTAGACTGTTCTCCTATTGGTCGACTAACAGTGGTCCTTGTACGGAAGTGAAATAATAGAGACTCTACTAGTGCCTAACAATTAATGCATGCCAAACAAGGTCTGTACCGATAATTTATCGATCTATTAATATAGCGCTGCACGAAACTTTAATATTCTGATAGTTATTTTTATTTTACCGCGGTTGTTTAACGCATTTTTAACTTGATGTAAAAGTACGTACTTTTGAAAATGTCGGAGATGTTGATTTAAATTAATTTAAAATAGTTCTGTGAACTGATTTGAAATATATTGAAAATAGTCTAAAATTGCCTCGTCATCGTATTAGCTCCAAAATAATCAGTTTTGAGGAAGTTTACAGTGGGTGTCCGGTGTGGGAAATGAAACACCGGAAGCTAACTTCTAGTTGATTCCAAAAGGGCGTGGCTGTCGCATTGTTTTCGAAAACTTTTAAATATTTCGCTTGAAAAGATACCTATATATTAACAGTACGCTCTTTTGGTCTTAACGAATAAAGGATTATCTTTATAAAGGAGTATCTACCTGTGCGTGTCAGCACGTACCTTGTACGCTCGACATGCTTCCTGTTTCATCTCTTAACGCCTACGAAGCTGAAGTTACTGCTTAGTAATCGCTTCTCTGTAACAAGTTGCAGATCTTATAACAGTTACAGCTCCTGCAGCACTTTCTCCCTCTCTTTCTGCAGCTCTCTCTCCTACTCTCCAGACTGCAGCCCTTTCTCCCTCTCTTCTGCAGCTCTCTCTCCTACTCTCCAGACTGATCAGTAGTAAACTTGTTTAAAGGTACCTATTACAGATTTTTACTGTACTTTGAAACCTTTGCAGTACCTAAAACTTCTAACTCTCATATACACTACATAATTTGATAATAGCACTTACTAGAATCGCCCTGTCAATCTGTCAATAGGTTCAGAAATCCTGAATATCATTCGCTTTTTAGATGCTTTAAAAGTGCGTATATTTGGTATCGTTTAGCATTATTATTACTATTAATTATATAGCATTACAGGGTGAGTTGAAAATAGTGTATAGAATGTAAAAATCGATAATTTTTAAAATTTCGGCTAGGAACGATATTTTTCCATGGGATCAAAAGCATCTGATAGATATTACTCCCCTCTATCAGAAACTACTAAAAAGTCGATTTTGAGAACATTTCCATACAGACCCCCCTGCCCCCTTAATACAGTCAAGTCAGCTATAGACAATTGTCTTACACGTTATCAACATGTCCAAGCTAATAAAGGTCGATGGGTTGAGCAAATTATTAATTATTAAGTATTTTTATTGTATTATTATAATATTTATATATTTTCATTACCTAAATATGCAAAAATTAAGTGGAAATTTCATTTGTCAAAAAAATTAGAGCCATTTACATTCTACACACTATTTTCAACTCACCCTATCCTGTTACCCTTTTAGCAGCTTTTGGTACCACAGGTTCAATACTCAATAGTATTTTATTCAAATAGGATTTAATTTGCAGAATAGGCCTTGCTTTTTAGTGACTAAGTGGTCGCTAGAGTTGACTTTCATTCGAGTAGGATTTTATTCCAATAGGCTTTCATTCGAATACTCGAGTAAGCTTTGAATTTAGTCTGCTTTGATTCTATATCAATAGCATAAAGCATTGTAGGTTCTGTACTTTATTTAATTAGGTATGTCAACTAGTTACAGGTTCAATTATCTAACAGTCCACATACCTACGTATATGCTATCAAATAGACTGTAGGGTACAGTCTGTATGTACCCTCTACATTCCCTCACCGGGAAAGGCACGCTACCTGAACTCATTGTGGAATGTGACCTGAACTCATTGTGGAATGTGACGTGAACTCATTGTGGAATGTGACGTGAATGGTATACGGAATGTCATACATTTCAACTAGAATATTTGCCGGTGTTAATTAAACGCGTTCTCTGGTGTTGACATTTAGTTGCCGTGGTAACCACGCGACGCTGTAGATCGTGTTGGCTTTGTCTGCATGTGTTTTTACGTGAAGGTTTCGTTTTTAGCAGACAGCGCACTGTGTGCACGCAGCTAAACACTGTGCTCTGAGCTCGACAGTGTACACGCAGCTATACACTGTGCACGCAGCTAGACACTTTGCACGCAGTAATACACTGTGCACGCAGCTAGACGCTGTGCACGCAGTAATACACTGTGCACGCAGCTAGACACTGTGCACGCAGTAATACACTGTGCACGCAGCTAGACACTGTGCACGCAGTAATACACTGTGCACGCAGCTAGACACTGTGCACGCAGTAATACACTGTGCAGTGTGCACGCAGCTAGACAGAGAGAGAGAGAGAGAGAGCTCAGAGCAATGTATCACCACGATCAAGACACAGTTCCATATCTGTGGACTGTAGCTGAGTCTACTTCATACTTCACTGGTAATCAGCCGTCATCGCCATCATTTGATCGTCATGCAATCCTGGTAACAAATTCCGGAACCCTTGTTCCGTATCTTGTGATGTGATTCTACAGCGTGGTAAGACTAGACGTCTCTATTCCTCCTAGGTTCACTGTCGTTGGTTTCCTCTTAATTTGCGGACCCTTTAATTGATAGCACGTGTTATAATAAATGTGGCTCACCGCCCCACCAGTATCCACACTTTTGTCGGTGAGATTTCTCTCAAATTTCTCCTTTTTTATTATTTGTTTTTTGTTTTTGTATCGGCGCCGGTTTTCCAAAAATTGTCAGTTCCTTTCATAAAATACTACAATAAAATGTCCAGTAAATAGTGCAACTATTTTATTTATTAGCTTTTGCTAATTTGCTTTGTACTTTTAGTAAGTTAGTTGCCATGGCACTATCTTTAGTAAGTTAGTTGCCATGGTACTGTATTCAATCAATTCTTTGCTTTATATCAATTGGTACTTATACTCATTTGCTTAAAAGACATGCTATCCGATATATGACTTTATTTCTGTATTTAAGTTTTAACATTATAATATAATAGCTAAAACGGACAACTAGATGAAGCAAACTAACAAACTTCATATTATAAGCATATAGATTCTAAGACTCGAATCTTTCCTAGACTCGGAAAACTACATAAAACCAACCAAGGAAAAGTGAACGACCACTAAAAAGCCGACTAAAAGATATTAACCTACGTCACCCAATCAATAACATTTCTTTTATCGTGCAAACTGGGGAGTCTAACCTACGTCACCCAATCAATAACATTTCTTTTATCGTGCAAACTGGGGAGTCTAACCTACGTCACCCAATCAATAACATTTCTTTTATCGTGCAAACTGGGCAGTCTAACTTTCTAATAATCTTTTAAACCTGATTTTGGTAAACTTTATCAGCTGAAGCGTAATTTGTGGCAGATTCTGACAGATTCAGTTTAGTCCTGAAGAATTTAGTGATGTTAGGAAATGTGAGGAAATAGCGACAGCCGGAAAATTGATTTCGTGTTTTATGATATTTCCTTCATGCGTCAAATACTGGACTTTCTATAATTCCGGATTTAGATTGGCCCGTAATACGTTGGTTTACAAATTTATTAAATAAGGAAATAGCTAGGACCGGAAATATTTAGCCGATAAAATATAATCTATTCTAAAGACCCCCATACTTATAGCAGCTGCAGGTAGTTGGCGATTATAACGTTTATTGGTCACTCGTTAATCGTTATACAGTAAAACCCTGATTTTCATTTCCTTTATGGCTTAACATGCATAATTTAAGCAAACAAAAACCCGATTTACCGCGGACCCCGATTTACTGCGAATGTTTCCTTTCCCCAAACTCCGCGGTAAATTGGGGTTTTACTGTATTAGTTACAAAACAAGGAACGGGCTTCGGGGTTTTACTTAAGCTACAAGTTACTAGCTACAAGACAGCTGGGTTTTACTGTACTATTATACTCGCTATTTTATTACAATTTATCCTACACATTTTAAATTTTTATAATCGTTCTCGTAGTTTAATAACAAGCTGCATATTTCATTATTATTTCATTTGAACTGATCTTTCTTTTCTTGCATCCTTTGTTTTATTGATAAGAACTTTACAGCATGTCAATAATCAGTAATTACTAACGATTGAGCCTTGAATGTTTTATCAAGTGGTGCTGCTTAATATCAACTAACAAATAAAGTTTAAACCAGCAAGATTTATTTAATACATTGGATAGTAAAGTACTGTTACTTTATATCACGCTTCTTTTTACCTACTTACTAGTCACTTAATAACATGATAAGTAATTAGTGGTAATGTAAATAAATAATAAATATGCTAACAATTTATAATAATTACACTATTAATAAGTTACAATGCTATCAATATAACTTACAATGCTAATAATTAAAATGTTGGCAGGTGTAGTAAATGTAGTGGTGTTGCTACCTACGAGACACTAGAAGATGCAGCAGTAGCCATGACAGACCTTGCTAACACCCTGTGTGCAGGTAACTAACACCACTAACACCAATAACACCACTAATACCACTAACACTACTAACACCACTAACACCACTAACACCAATAACACCACTAACACCACTAACACCACTAACACCACTAACACCACTAACACTACTAACACCACTAACACCACTAACACCACTAACACCACTAACACCACTAACACCACTAACACCACTAACACCACTAACACCACTAACATCACTAACATCACTAACACCACTAACACCACTAACACCAACACCACTAATAATAACAATCGAATTATAATCAACATAAGAATTTCCAAAAACACACTGATTCCTCGCAAAACTTATCTGCACTATCATGTGTCTGAACCTAACCCCTTGCAGGATGCTCGGAGAAGCTAGTTGGAGAGGTTATCAGAGTGGGGGACAGTGACCACTTCCACGTGGACTGCTTCAAGTGCACTTCCTGCAATGTGGGTACTCTTTTTAAACTTCCTGCAGTGTGGGTACTCTTTTATACTTCCTGCAGTGCGGGTACTCTTTTTATACTTCCTGCAGTGTGGGTACTCTTTTTAAACTTCCTGCAGTGTGGGTACTCTTTTTAAACTTCCTGCAGTGTGGGTACTCTTTTTATACTTCCTGCAGTGTGGGTACTCTTTTTAAACTTCCTGCAGTGTGGGTACTCTTTTTATACTTCCTGCAGTATGGGTACTCTCTTTATACTTCCTGCAGTGTGGGTACTCTTTTTATACTTCCTGCAGTGTGGGTACTCTTTTTATACTTCCTGCAGTGTGGGTACTCTTTTTATACTTCCTGCAGTGTGGGTACTCTTTTTATACTTCCTGCAGTGTGGGTACTCTTTTTATACTTCCTGCAGTGTGGGTACTCTTTTATACTTCCTGCAGTGTGTGTACTCTTTTTATACTTCCTGCAGTGTGGGTACTCTTTTTATACTTCCTGCAGTGTGGGTACTCTTTTTATACTTCCTGCAGTGTGGGTACTCTTTTTATACTTCCTGCAGTGTGGGTACTCTTTTTATACTTCCTGCAGTGTGGGTACTCTTTTTATACTTCCTGCAGTGTGGGTACTCTTTTTATACTTCCTGCAGTGTGGGTACTCTTTTATACTTCCTGCAGTGTGGGTACTCTTTTTATACTTCCTGCAGTGTGGGTACTCTTTTATACTTCCTGCAGTGTGGGTACTCTTTTTATACTTCCTGCAGTGTGGGTACTCTTTTTATACTTCCTGCAGTGTGGGTACTCTTTTTATACTTCCTGCAGTGTGGGTACTCTTTTTATACTTCCTGCAGTGTGGGTACTCTTTTTATACTTCCTGCAGTGTGGGTACTCTTTTTATACTTCCTGCAGTGTGGGTACTCTTTTTATACTTCCTGCAGTGTGGGTACTCTTTTTATACTTCCTGCAGTGTGGGTACTCTTTTTATACTTCCTGCAGTGTGGGTACTCTTTTTATACTTCCTGCAGTGTGGGTACTCTTTTTATACTTCCTGCAGTGTGGGTACTCTTTTTATACTTCCTGCAGTGTGGGTACTCTTTTTATACTTCCTGCAGTGTGGGTACTCTTTTTATACTTCCTGCAGTGTGGGTACTCTTTTTATACTTCCTGCAGTGTGGGTACTCTTTTTATACTTCCTGCAGTGTGGGTACTCTTTTTATACTTCCTGCAGTGTGGGTACTCTTTTTATACTTCCTGCAGTGTGGGTACTCTTTTTATAATTCCTGCAGTGCGGGTACTCTTTTAAAACTTCCTGCAGTGTGGGCACTCTTTTTATACTTCCTGCAGTGTGGGTACTCTTTTATACTTCCTGAAGTGCGGGTACTCTTTTTATACTTCCTGCAGTGTGGGTACTCTTTTTATACTTCCTGCAGTGTAGGTACTCTTTTTATACTTCCTGCAGTGTGGGTACTCTTTTTATACTTCCTGCAGTGTGGGTACTCTTTTTATACTTCCTGCAGTGTGGGTACTCTTTTTATACTTCCTGCAGTGTGGTTACTCTTTTTATACTTCCTGCAGTGTGGGTACTCTTTTATACTTCCTGCAGTGTGGTTACTCTTTTTATACTTCCTGCAGTGTGGGTACTCTTTTTATACTTCCTGCAGTGTGGGTACTCTTTTTATACTTCCTGCAGTGTGGGTACTCTTTTTATACTTCCTGCAGTGTGGGTACTCTTTTTATACTTCCTGCAGTGTGGGTACTCTTTTATACTTCCTGCAGTGTGGGTACTCTTTTTATACTTCCTGCAGTGTGGGTACTCTTTTATACTTCCTGCAGTGTGGGTACTCTTTTTATACTTCCTGCAGTGTGGGTACTCTTTTTATACTTCCTGCAGTGTGGGTACTCTTTTTATACTTCCTGCAGTGTGGGTACTCTTTTTATACTTCCTGCAGTGTGGGTACTCTTTTTATACTTCCTGCAGTGTGGGTACTCTTTTATACTTCCTGCAGTGTGGGTACTCTTTTATACTTCCTGCAGTGTGTGTACTCTTTTTATACTTCCTGCAGTGTGGGTACTCTTTTATACTTCCTGCAGTGTGGGTACTCTTTTATACTTCCTGCAGTGTGGGTACTCTTTTTATACTTCCTGCAGTGTGGGTACTCTTTTATACTTCCTGCAGTGTGGGTACTCTTTTTATACTTCCTGCAGTGTGGGTACTCTTTTTATACTTCCTGCAGTGTGGGTACTCTTTTTATACTTCCTGCAGTGTGGGTACTCTTTTTATACTTCCTGCAGTGTGGGTACTCTTTTATACTTCCTGCAGTGTGGGTACTCTTTTATACTTCCTGCAGTGTGTGTACTCTTTTTATACTTCCTGCAGTGTGGGTACTCTTTTTATACTTCCTGCAGTGTGGGTACTCTTTTTATACTTCCTGCAGTGTGGGTACTCTTTTTATACTTCCTGCAGTGTGGGTACTCTTTTTATACTTCCTGCAGTGCGGGTACTCTTTTTATACTTCCTGCAGTGTGGGTACTCTTTTTATACTTCCTGCAGTGTGGGTACTCTTTTATACTTCCTGAAGTGTGGGTACTCTTTTTATACTTCCTGCAGTGTGGGTACTCTTTTTATACTTCCTGCAGTGTGGGTACTCTTTTTATACTTCCTGCAGTGTGGGTACTCTTTTTATACTTCCTGCAGTGTGGGTACTCTTTTTATACTTCCTGCAGTGTGGGTACTCTTTTTATACTTCCTGCAGTGTGGGTACTCTTTTATACTTCCTGCAGTGTGGGTACTCTTTTTATACTTCCTGCAGTGTGGGTACTTTTTTATACTTCCTGCAGTGTGGGTACTCTTTTTATACTTCCTGCAGTGTGGGTACTCTTTTTATAATTCCTGCAGTGCGGGTACTCTTTTAAAACTTCCTGCAGTGTGGGTACTCTTTTTATACTTCCTGCAGTGTGGGTACTCTTTTATACTTCCTGAAGTGTGGGTACTCTTTTTAACACTGATTTAACATATTATACCGGGAAGGGATTAGTGTCAATTAAACCGGGGTTTTACTGAAAAGGATGTTTTACTGTACTCAATGAAATGTATAACATACTCTTCATATTGCACTTTGTTCTCATTGTGAGCTAAATTCTTTTCCGTGATTTAACTCTGACTGATGCTATTTCCAGTGCTGTCATGTCTTGTCAAAGTGTACTACTACATTTAAGCAACTGTTATTATAGTGTTGCTTATTTGTTTTAGGTATTATAATTACCTTTAATCACTTATACTCAGTGTAGCCGTTTTAAGAAGTACTTTATTCAGAATCTGAGATTTTGGAAACCACTTCTGAGTGGCTCGAAATGTTAGTACACAATGATATGTCCCTTTACCAATACCAGATAGATTTTAAATCCGAGATTTTGGTTAAGCATTTGGACAACTTCTGATACACGTTTTTTGGCAATTTGGCTGTAAATTTCCGTGAACTGAGTTTGATTTGTCAAACAGATTTTAAGTCAGTCCAGGCATAACTACGGCTAAAAAACACATTTCCATGTTATCTCAATTTTGTCTCATGTTTCCAAAATGTTTCCTAAATCTCGGATTCATGAACTCACCTTATTCTCACCTACATACTTGTCCGTGATTTAACCTCTTACTGCTGCAATTTTAGAGAACACTAAAATAGTTTTGACTCTATAAGAGTGTAATGTTTGTAGTGAAGCAGCAGAAATTTGGTGCGGGGTTTATCTGGCTTCCTTATAATGTCAGTTTGCTATTTGTACTTTGAAATTGTAAAAAAGTACGATAAATAATGGGGCTCTGAAATGTATGAGATTATAAATCAAGAGGCTTGCATATAATGAACATATTGACACGGGTGCAGAGTTGAGTCTGTACGGAACTAGTAGTTTCAGATCCTTGTTTAACTTGCCGCACAGCAAGGTCATCCACTACTTTAGCCCGGCGAGGCACATAACTCCCTCTACAACTCCATGACAAATGTTTCATATATACTAGCCGAGTTCACAAGTTATATCCTTGTGTTTGAGAAGAGCTCGTTAGAACTGCTTCCTTTCCCTTATGACAGGAATGCTCTCATATAGGGTAACAATCGTCCTACATTCTACAAGTACAACAGACAATCGTTTACCAGCGATTACAAGCCTCAGTACTCAATAGGATGGAGAGAGTTAGAGTTAAAATAAGAGTATTGGGCAAGATATTCTGATCGACATACTAAACTAACACTTCTCTCAGGAACCTCTAGCTAAACTAACACTTCTCTCAGGAACCTCTAGCTAAACTAAAACTCCTCTCAGGAACCTCTAGCTTCCACCGGATTCTTTGCACGTGCAGAGAAGTACTACTGCTCTAAAGACTACCACGAGCTATTCGGGACTAAGTGTGTGGTCTGTTCCAGCTTCATCGAGGGGGAGGGGTTTACTGTTCAGAAGAGGAGTTATCATACTAGGTGCTTCAAGTGCTCTCAATGCGGAGGTTAGATTATTGATTAATTAATTAATTGTTGAACTTAAAGATCTGCTAATTCTCAGTGCAGAGGTTAGATTATTAATTAATTGTCACATTTAACAATCTGCTATTTCTCAGTCTAGTGCGGAGGTTAGATTATTAATTAATTGATTAATTGTTACATTTAACGATCTGCTATTTCTCAGTCTAGTGCGGAGGTTAGATTATTAATTAATTGTTACATTTAACGATCTGCTATTTCTCAGTCTATTGTGGAGGTTAGATTATTAATTAATTGTTAAACTTAACGATCTGCTATTTCTCAGTCTAGTGTGGAGGTTAGATTATTAATTAATTGTTACATTTAACGATCTGCTATTATCTGACAGAACTTGTTTTATGACAATCTTTCTCCGCTCTTATGAGTGGATTGATCATATAGTTTGATAGTTGGGGACCAAGGCGTGTTGCCGAAACGTCGACAACTATTTGTTTTGAAACACTGAGTGGAGACTCTCATTTCGTCCCCAACTATCAAACAAAAACTTGTTTTACATAATTTGTTCAGAAATGCCACAAAATTCAGTACTCCGGAGTAAAGTTACACCAGATGATATTGTGAAAACTGTAAATTAGCTTGTTATAAGTATAAGGGTGAATATATTGTGAAGATACCTTGCATGTCGGAGAGGAGTAGTTCATATTGCTGAAATTTCCTCCTTAGATAAAGTAATCATTCCATAGATGCGATTTTCCTGGACAGGGTGAAAATCTCGTAACCAATTACGTTTTGGCTGATTTAAGATTTTTCATACTGTATTATAAGTGACGAAAATATTTTCCCACGATAGTTAAGACATATTCCAGAGTTCACTAATTTTATATAAAACTGGTACATGGCACTCAATATGCCGATTCTGCTAGCTGAATGACCTCAATTCTTAAAAAACCTAGATCACGGTATGTAGCGTTCCGTATTAAGGTGTGCATAGCATCAGTATTTTAACTATGTATCTTTGGACAGCAACGTTTAAGTACCGTCATACACATTACGTCCTTGAAGAGCTTCCAAAAATTAGCTTAATTTATGACTTGCTTCGGAATGCGGTATAGTATCCGGTATAGTACATGAGTTGGAAAACTTAAATGGATGTTGGCTGTGGAGTCTGATAGTTTAGATTTAAGCGAGATATAAAAGTTGTGGTAGAGTCCAGACCCTATCTAAATGAGTGAAAGAAATACATTTTCAGATGGTTTATCGGCCGACAAACCTTGACAGTGGTTTACAATTATTTGCAAAAAACAAGTTTTTGTAAAACTGTACTGATATCTGATCTATAAATCTGACCTTGTTCCTCAGGTGGGTTCAACAGTGGTTCCCGGGTTTTATTCGACGAAGGACGCCCTATCTGTGAGAGCTGCCGAGCCAAATCTCAAGCCTCTACTCGTCTGAGCTCATGCAAGGGCTGCAACAAGGACATTACGGGGCGGAGTGTGGTTGCCATGGAGTCAGACTGGCATGTGGACTGCTTTGCTTGTTACTACTGTAAAGCTCCGTTAGCAGGGGAGTACATGGTGAAGGACGGTCACCCCTACTGCGAGTCGGATTACCTCAACTTGTTCGGACAAAAGTGTAAGATATGCGATGAGTTTATCGTGGGGAGGGTTCTCCAAGCGGGGGGTGTCAGTTACCACAACTCCTGTCTTAGGTGCCAAGTGTGCAGTAACTCCTTCGCTGAAGGGCAGGAGATCTTCACCCAGGATGGAATATTCTGGCACACGGAGTGTGAGCCTTATTTGGAGGGGTTCGGGGAGAGCGAGTATTTTGATGACGGAGCGGAGGAGGAGGTTGCAGGGTTGGTTACAGACGATGTAGCGGATGTGGAGGAGGGCATCTCTAATATCAGGGTCGAGGAGAATTAAAGGAGCTGTACAGACGATGTAGCGGATGTGGAGGAGGGCATCTCTAATATCAGGGTCGAGGAGAATTAAAGGAGCTGTACAGACGATGTAACGGATGTGGAGGAGGGCATCTCTAATATCAGGGTCGAGGAGAATTAAAGGAGCTGTACAGACGATGTAGCGGATGTGGAGGAGGGCATCTCTAATATCAGGGTCGAGGAGAATTAAAGGAGCTGTATGGACGATGTAGCGGATGTGGAGGAGGGCATCTCTAATATCAGGGTCGAGGAGAATTAAAGGAGGTTGTGAAGTGTCAATAGTGCAATGGATATTTGCTGTCCTTAGTTATTTACTATCAATATTTTGGAACAAAAAAGACAATCAGGTAATCGGGTCTAAGGTGCACCCAATATTTTGGAGGATTGGAATTTAAGAGGAAATTTAAATGGTAGCCTGACAGTACGGTCTTTCATGTGTTACAATTGACATCAAATGGTCAAATTGTAGAAGATTCAACCGCTGTTGTTGGGCAGCCGTTTTGAACTTGAAGCAGATTAAAATGGATTGTTGCAAATCATGTTTTTTTGTGGTTTCGTTTAACTTAAGTGAAAATATTTTGAAAGGCTAATCAATTTTCTCGTAAAATATTAAATGTCAACACAATTTTCTATTCTCTGATAGTTGTTTTTCGTAAAGATTATGTGCTATTCATTTTTACAATTTTTAGGGTTATTTAACATTAACTTTAATAAATTGGTATGGACTTAGATTTTCATTTTCGCTATAAAGAATTCATTTTCATCTGCAATTTTTCTTTGTACAAGTAAACGGTATGTTGTGATAAATGACAATTCATACACGTTTCCAATTCTTGATTCAAATAAATCATGCATTCGAAAAAATTAAACAGTTCAAACCAAAATTACACATACAAAGACAAAAATTGTCTCCGGACGAAAATTCAACATATTGCACCATGAATATTGAAAATGAATCATGATCATGGCTAATGAGTTTGTTGCCAAGTTGAAGTTTATTTTATCACTCGCACCCAGTAGCTGTCGAATGTAGAGTGATTTAGCACCTAGTAGAGTGATTTAGCACCCATTACTATTAAAGTGATTTAGCACCCAGTAGAGTGATTTAGCACCCAGTAGAGTGATTTAGCACCCAGTAGAGTGATTTAGCACCCAGTAGAGTGATTTAGCACCCAGTAGAGTGATTTAGCACCCAGTAGGGTGATTTAGCACCCAGTAGGGTGATTTAGCACCCAGTAGGGTGATTTAGCACCCAGTAGGGTGATTTAGCACCCAGTAGGGTGATTTAGCACCCAGTAGAGTGATTTAGCACCCAGTAGAGTGATTTAGCACCCAGTAGAGTGATTTAGCACCCAGTAGAGTGATTTAGCACCCAGTAGCTGTCTAGAATTAGCGGGTGGGATCAGTTGGGGGACCGTACTTGTGTTGACACGTGACATGACCTTGTTAGCTGTCTTTAGGTGATAACATGCCATGCATTGTTACTGATGAAGGCGCAACCCAGCTGTTTTGAAACGTGACTATGAATTGGTTCTGCCGAATTAATTGTTCAATTCAAATTTATTTTTTAGTTTAGGTAGTTGTAGTTGTACTTGTCATCCGGCCACACATTATACAACTTATATTTTGTTGTGATTTATTTATTAACCATTTATCATTGTTAGGCATGTAGACAAATTTCCAGTTATCGCAAGAGTTGTCTCACTTGTTCAGAACATATTTGTCTACATCCCTCATCATGGAAAAGTTTTTAAGCCCTCAGCGCTTGGACATCACCCTCACAGATAAAGGTGACGAAGTTGCAGATACCTACCTGCACTGGAAACAGACTCTAGACAATTTTATTACTATTCTTGGTGAAAAAGCTAACACCGAAGAGACACAATATATGGTGCTTTGCAATTATGTGAGCCCCTCAATATATACAACTATCAAGGGTGAAACAAAGTTTTCGGAGGCAGTTAAAATCTTGAATGGTTTGTTTGTTAAAACAAAGAATACTAACTTTGCTCGATTTTGTTTATCTACACGGAGTCAAACTGAAGCTGAATCAGTTGATCAATTCGTCTTGGCGTTGCGGACACTGGCGAAACAGTGTAATTTTACCGAAGTATCAGCTGCTGTTCATGGGGAAGAGAGCATTAGAACAGCTCTTATCAGTGGGCTAAGGGACAAGCAAATTCGGCAGCGCCTAATGGAGGACACTAAAAGTTTAGATGATACCATCACTCTGGCTTGTACTCTGGAGCAATCAATCTCAAACAATGAAAAGTATAACGGTTCTAATCTAAATGGTATTGTTAATGGAAACGATTCTGGACTGGATTCAAAGGATCATGCGGTTGTAGCTGCCACTCACGGCAATTCAGTTAGTCCTAATATAAAGTGTGGATATTGTGGTAAGGAGTACCATGTTCGAACAGCGTGTCCTGCTAATAATACTACTTGTAAAACTTGCGGTAAGCGAGGACATTGGGCACGAGTATGTCGATCAGCGACGGGTCTTGGGAAGACCGCACCTAATGATTACTTCTCTAAGAAGAACTCTGCAAACAACGCTTATACTCCAGTTAACAACGCCTACAACGTCCCGCCTGCTGATCAGCCCCAGCAATCATCCCCATTCTCTTATCTTTGTGCTATGTCTCCGTCGACACCTTCAACGCTGTCTCAGACAACCGTCAACGCAAAGGTAAATAATCATATCGCTTACATTTTGATTGACACTGGTAGCTCAGAGAGTTTTGTTGACTTGGGTTTTGCTAGGCGAAATGGCATAACGATAGGCCCGGGTACGAACAAAATAACTTTAGCTTCGGAATCAATGTCAACAAACACTCAGGGGTCCTGTGTAGTAGATATTGTGATTGAAGGCCACTCCTATTCAGAGTGTAAATTATCAGTTATGGACAAACTATGTTGCGACGCAATCGTGGGTTTGGATTTACTCCGAAGTCATATGAATCTTGTGGTTAATTTCGGAGGAAATAGAGATCCCTTGGTGATAGATGAAGCTGGTAGGAACTGTGCACAGCTTTCAATGTCGAACCTTGAGCCCATACCTCTATTCTCCACATTAATGGAAGGCACCAATCCAATCGCTTGTAGGTCCAGAAAGTACTCTGATGCAGAGAGAGCATTTATAGCAAAATCGGTTAAAGAGTTATTGGAACAGGGCACTATTAGGCCGAGTAATAGTCCTTGGAGAGCACAGGTCCTCGTTACAGGTTTAGATTCGGCAAGGCCCCGAATGGTGGTAGACTACTCTCGAACGATCAACAAATTCACACACTTAGATGCGTATCCTCTGCCAAACCTTGACACTATGGCCTCGCAGATAGCTAAGTACAGGATTTATAGCACATTTGATCTTAAGTCTGCCTACCATCAAATCCCGATTCTCGAAGGAGAAAAGCCACTCACAGCCTTTGAAGCAGCTGGGAAACTATTTGAATTTAATGGCATTCCCTTTGGAGTCACTAATGGTGGACCTGTTTTTCAACGTAATATGGACATACTTGTGGAGGAAAATAAGTTAGATAGTGTTTTTCCTTATCTGGACAATATAACTGTTGGGGGCTATGATCAGGAAGATCACGACAAAAACGTCAAGGGGTTATTATCGACTATTAAGAAGTTGGGACTAACGTTGAATCATGATAAGACTATAAGTTCAGTTGAAACTATCAACATTTTGGGCTATCAAATTTCTCACGGCACTATCCGTCCTGATCCTGAGCGCATGCAGCCATTGAGGGACTTGCCGGTACCACATGATGCTGACTCACTAAAAAGGGCCATGGTTTTTGCGAGTATGTGACTTTTGAGAAGTTTTATCAATGTTTTAAATGTATCCTTATCTGCGCATTGAAATGGCGCAAATTCGTATAAAAAGCACGATTTTTCAGCTAACGCGCCTTTGCGCGTTTCCATTTGTTAAATTTTTAAATTTTATTTGATTTTTTACGGGGGGTGTATGTTGTGATTTATTTATTAACCATTTATCATTGTTAGGCATGTAGACAAATTTCCAGTTATCGCAAGAGTTGTCTCACTTGTTCAGAACATATTTCAATACCATTGTTTTCATGAGTTTTATATAAAAATAATGTCAACGTAAATTTCCATGGCTGAAATGCAACTTTTGATTCTGATCTCATATACAATAATAAATTACATTTTTTTTTTTTTTAGCGCTGGATAGCGCTAGTTGTCGCCATCCAGCGCTAGTTGTCGCTATCCAGCGCTGGATAACGCTGGCCAGCGCAAAATATATATGTTCGATAATTGTCGCTATCCAGCGCTAGTTGTCGCCATCCAGCGCTAGTTGTCGCCATCCAGCGCTAGTTGTCGCTATCCAGCGCTAGTTGTCGCTATCCAGCGCTAGTTATCGAACTGTTTTCTGCGATGGCCAGTTGCGCTGGCCATCGCAAACTATCGCGTGCGACAGTGTCGCATAGCCAGCGACAACTAGCGCTGGATAGCGACAACTAGCGCTGGATGGCGACAACTAGCGCTGGATAGCGACAATTATCGAACATATATATTTTGCGCTGGCCAGCGTTATCCAGCGCTGGATAGCGACAACTAGCGCTGGATGGCGACAACTAGCGCTATCCAGCGCTAGTTGTCGCCATCCAGCGCTAGTTGTCGCGTTTTGACTATCGCAAAAGAACCGATAATTTATACACACGTTAAGCTTGACACTCTTGCATTATAATTATATTATTGTCTTTTCTATTTTTAATATTTGTGTTATATTGTTATTTTACTTTCACTAATATTCATAAAATAATTACCAAGGACCAAGAATAAAATGGACCAAGAATAAAATGTTTGATTTAATAATAATTATAAGCAATCCTTCGTATATTATTGCGCCTGGCATATTATTGCGCTGATGACTGTGAATTTTTATTTTTACGGTGTTGATATCTAATAAGCTCTAATAAGAGTTATCCGAAGCACTTTTTTCCTTTCCAGCTACTCAGTTAACAATTTCAACTGACTCATTACTATTTGGGTGTTAGGATGTGGAAATTAAGAATAGGGATTGTAGAGCTGG